AAGTAAGAGAGAAAGTGGCCAATGACAGAGACACAAATCCCCTGTAGGCATCGGAGACAAATCTATTTTGTGTCAGAAAAAAAAAATAATGCTCTTGAAAAATGTTTCTTTGCTCAGGCCAACAGATACAGACCTGCTGCATGCAATTTTGCTGAACCGATGGTATCACTTGAATGGCTCACAGACTACATAAAATGCATTACATAATTATATTTTTAAACACTGTCCCCAGCTGTGCTGATGCACATAAAAGCTGTGTTTACAATGGACTCTGCACATGTAATTATTTTGTGGCACTAGCCCTGTGCATTTCCTTGATGGATGCTCCATGGTGCATAAAATTGTAGCTTTTATCATAGATTCTTCAATATATTCTTTGGATGTTTCAGCTTTAAATACTTTGTTGTCCTCGCATGGGTGAACAGGACTGATGCCTGGAAGGGCTAAATTATTACATCTGAGGAACACCTTTAAGTCCTCTGGGAGCAGCAGAAGGGGAAACATGATGAGTGTTGGATTTGAGGCACCTGGGTCACTGGAAGCACTGAGCAGCAGAGCCGGCTGCTCCTCCATGAGAGGTTTCCTGTGTTGATCTTCTGGATAGAGCAAGGGCCCTGCCCCTATTTGGCCTGCACAGGTTCATCCCAAGCTGATTAATGCTGCATCAACCCAGATGCTTTGTAGGACGGGGAGGCTAAACAATGCCTGGTGCCCGTGTGAGTGTGGGAGCAAAGGGGTGGGAGGCTGCCCTTGCAGAGTCAAACAGAACATGTCCCAGACTGTTGGGATCAAAGAACAGCTTTGATTTATCTTCCTTTCTGTTTGTATACAGTGAGCGAGCTTTCAGCATTTCACTGTGAGCTCTCCCTTCTCTGTTCTCCATCCAGTTGTGGAATACCAAGAATTTCTTCATGCTAGAGCAGTAGTTGATGCATAGGACCCAGGAAAGAAGACAGTGGTATATTTATTTTAGATCTGTTCCAGTATTCTCGAGTATTAATATCACTGTGAAAACCTAGATGCTGGAAGGATTGGTACATAACACAGTCCAAGAGTTTTGCCTGCCAAACAATAACACTTGGAAATAAATAAAGATAAAAAGTAATACAATATCCTGAACAACAGCTTCAAAATGATGGAAGAGCAGCATCACAGGTAGCTACCTTTATATTTTTTTTTTACTATTGCTGCAAAGAACTGGCAGACTTTTGTTGTCAATAAGCAAAATGGTTTGGCATTTTACCTCTAGTGTCTGGCTAACCTTAGGTATAAGACTGCACAAAGAAAATGGGGGTTTTGTTGCAAATCAGTTTTTAATGGCAGATGTTTTGTTGGAAATCAGGTCTGCTTTCTGGTAATAGATAGCTTAAATTCCTTTGTTATCATTCCTTGCCCTTTTCAGTCCTGTGTTTGGTAATGGAAGCTGGAATTCTATGCTTTCCCAAGGACAGTTGAACCATGTAAAGTTGTAATTGGTCTAATGCCAATAGTGATCAAATTATTCCAAAGCAAATGGCTTGACTGTTGGTAAACCAAGTTTTCCACCCTCACATGAATATAGTCTTCTCCCATCATAGAAAATCTTCAGCTATGGATGTCCTTAGCATTCCCTCTGTTTGGCATGTGAAGTTTACATACCAGCTTCTAGGCTGTTGATGCATTTTGCACCAAAATGTCAGGTGATGGAAGAACAATCTTTGGAGTGGAAAAAATGTGGAACTGCATAAGTTTATTGTATGTTCGTTTGCATAGTCTACCTTTCAGATAAACCTTATCCCTGGGAGTGTACTGGTACTTGAAAAAGAGTCCTTGAATAACCTGCACAAAAGCTGAACCACCAGAGGCGCTACTTTGGAAAAGCAAGCAGAGGAAGGTACCAGAAGCAGTGCAAAGGAAACACTTCTAGGGTAAGCACCCCCTGGTATTGTTCAATATACGTGTCTATCCTGTTTTTGCAACAGAAGGTGTTGTTGTTTTATTAGGGATACCATGGCTTGTATGTATGAAAAAAGGGTACATTTCTCACTGGGTAAGACATACTTCTTACTTACTCACATTACTGAAGTAATATGAAGTAATGTGAGTATTATTTTCTAAAAGGGCTTATTTCCTTCTAGTCCCTTACTCTGGAGAGCCCTGCTGAAAGTCTGTCAGCCATCTAGGCCAAAATATGTTTTTCAAATATGTGATCATCTTATACAAATGAACATAATTCCATGTGCTTTGATAGAGCTACTACTTAAGCTAATGGAGGATCTAACTCCTCGGTATTTTATGTAACACAGATAAACACCAAAATTTGTGATCAGAGAGGAAATATTTCTAGGTGTAACATGCTTGCATCATTACTCTTCCACATTACTTACAGTCCTTTGCTGCAGCCATTTGTGCAAGACTTTTGTGATAATCTTTACAGTACATGGAGATAAGAGTTGCTCATCTTTTGCAAAACATTTTGTTAAATACAGATGAGAGCAAGAATCCACACTGAATTTAATACAAATTTTGCAGTCCAACAGGACCAAAACAATCCTCTTAATACTACTATTTGAACCCTGATCTTTGCCTTTTTGTGTCTAAGTCATCAGAAGCTTCTCTTTCCAAAAGCAAAATAATGCTTTGAGAAGTCACAGTTCAGTGTAAATTATGTCATCACTATTATGGGTTGAGGCATCATCTTTGTTGCCTTAAGTCCCTCTTGGAAATGTCCAATAAAGCCAGAAAGAAAATGAGACTTATTTTACAGATTTTTTGAGCACTATAATTCCATTCTTGCTATAATATTATCTGTGAGAGCTTTTTCTCTTTTAATTCCATAAAGCTCTATCACTATATTATCTAAGCAGCTAAGTACTGCGATTATGTAAGTTGAACATAATAGGATGTCTGTAAAACTTTCCTCCTTCCAGCTTTGGAAATTTCTAAATTGCGTTTCTACAGTGACTCAGCTGAAGATCTCCCATATGATCTAGGAGAATGTGTGGTGGGTGGGATTTCCACCCTTTGGAGGAATGTAGAATGATCCTCAGGTATGACCTCAGCTTCAGCCCAGCTCTCTTCCCATGTCCCCTGGACTTTTCTGGGCAATCTTTAACCACTGAGCAGCAGATGCTTGCTGCAGCTCGTGCCAGGCATTGCACTTCTGTCTTTCTAGGAATGTTTACTTAATGTTTTCAGAGGAAAAAAAAAAAAAAAAAACTACCTTTTGATTTTGCACGGCAGGAGAATTCGCCTGTTGTACCAGATAACAACCTCAATATGTACTTTCACAGTCTGTTTCTTCTAGAGGATATTTTTGGCCCATAAGGGGTGTTTTAAGAATAATTCTACCAGTACTATTTTTATAATATGTATCACTTCATGGTGCATTACTAACCATATGGCCAAGCACACTAGATGCAGCTACATTGCAAGGTTTGTTGCCCAGTAGGCATGAGAAGCATTTATTTTGAATGATGTGCACTGAGGAAAAAAATTCCACTTCAAAGGTACAGGCTTAGGACCCTTATTTCTCCTCTTGGTTCTCCCTTGGTTTTAAATGAGGTTCAGCTTTTCTCCCTTGGAATCTCACTGCAATAATGTGGGCTCAGAGCAGCTGTTTTTACTTTGCCTTGCTGATAACTGGCAGGAGATAAAATACGGAGGAGTAAATTCTGCCTGGCTGCTACAGGTTGCATCACACAATCGCTGACTGGTAGGTCTCTGAGAATTGTTACTGATAGCTAGATTTTATCTTGGTAGGGGTAAGAGCTCATGAAACAGGATGACTCAAGGAATGACTAATGAACACTTTATGATGAAACTTCTGTCTAAGCCATGTCAACTGTGACCAAAAATTATCATCAGGGAGTTATTTGACAGTCTAGGTTGAGTGAGCAGGTGCCCTGAGACCACCTTGTTGTAGACGTGTCTTAAATGTGAAATCCACTAACTCAGTTTGTATCAATTAATGTCAGTGGGGAAAACCACAAATGGTGATGTGGCACGGTGGTGAACTATGCTGTTACCCCTCAAGTGGCTTCTCCCATTTAGAGCTGGCCATTTAATGAGGTAGATGATACTGCCATTACTTTGTGTTTTTCTCTTTTGTAAATAAATCATTCCAGTCAGATGTATACACACAGCTTTGTTTTGTGTGTTCATACAGAAACGCAGACTCCCAGGAACAGTTCCAGATACTCAGCTGGGATTACATTATCAACACGGGCATCCTCGTATTTAGGTGGGCTTCCTATGCAAATGTCATGGGGAGTCCCTCCGTGTGACTCTAATTTATGACTCTAGCAAAATATCCTTCTTCAGCTCCTTGATACTAGGCCCTTTATATGTAGTTTACAGGTACCTTTGCTTTTCTTGGGATACCAGTAGCTCCTGTACAATCCCAAATCATTAGTTACACACCTAAGTCAATGTGGAGGTATCACCTACTGTATTGACTTAGCAGTGCTCAGTAAAATTACCTCCCACCTTCTTATGCCAACGGTCATGTCTTGCTTTCTCTACAGCAACATCCTGCCAAAATGCATTATTTCCCCTGGAGAAGAACAAACTCCCCCTTCTGGGCGGGGTACAAATGAGGCCAGGTGTGCTCAAGGTGCAGGGGGCTAGAAAGGGGACATGTGCAAGCTTTGCTCTAAGCAGTCAAGAGACGAGATGGGGATCAGGGAAGTCAGAGGCTTAGCCTTGGCTCTGATAATGATTTTTTTGTGTGGCCTTTTGTAAGCTCTTTCATGTTTCCACCTCATTTTTCTGAATCCTAAAACGGAGTTCAAAATCATCACTTCTCCAACACCTCCCCCTCCACACACACACACAGAGTTGTGAGAAGGTTTAATGTTTATCTCAGAGATTTTGAACAGTATTATACATCCAGGGAATGTATACAGGCATTTAGACCCCAGAATGAGCTTTAGAAAAACATCAGGTAAAGAAAACAGCATTTATATTTTAATCATATTAATCATAAATTTAGGATTGGAACAGAATATGTGATTAACAAACCTGCAAAACAAGCTTTGTTTCATTGGCTTGAGCCGCTTTCTAGTTCTGTTTGTGTACGTCAAAGTGATGTTCAGTCTTTTTAAATGAGTCACAGGACTGGAAGAACAAAAATATTTGATGGTAACATATAGCAGCAAAACAATTACTCTTTTCATTCTGACAGGCATGATAACCAGAATAGCAAGTTAGAGCTAGAGGTCTAGGCTGGTAGTTTCTTTCCACATATCAGGGATTTTAGATCTGCTTGCAAGACAGTGAAACAGAACTGAAATGTCATAAAAACTAAAAGATAACACTAGATCAAACAATAAAAGCAAGCATGCCCATTAGGATACAACTATTTACACTTATAAAGGCACTACTGATCAGTGAGTCCATGCAGTATTCTCACACAGCACAGCCTTGTCTAGCAGCTTTCTGTACCTTTATCCAGAGGAGACTCCTTTCCACCCTGCTTGCTGCATTGCACCACTGATTTAGTGAAGACATCATCCTCATAAGGATGCTCTTCTAACTCACCTCTGAAATCCGCTTGCTTTTCTCCTCTGACAATTAGGTTTAAATGTGCTGCAGCAAAGTACCCATCCTTAGCAGTCGTATGGCTTTTTAAGTGATAAACTGCATTAGCAAATTCCTTATTAGATAATCTATCAAATGAGGTCATACATAATTTTAGCAGTCTCATCTTGATTTATAGCATGATCACAGCAAATTATGCACACACAAACCAGCATGCTGGCTGTCAAAGTCAGGTATTTTACTCTGCTAAAAACTATTGCCAGGCCAGCCCAGTGGCCTAACCGGTAGCACTCTGCATCACCACGGCTTGCCCAGTTTGCAGGATAGCCCTCAAGCTGACCCCTCACCTTTTATTAGGACTGATGAGAGTTCAAGGCATTAGGTTAAGTCCTTGTTTCATATATTCTAACAATAATCCTTAATGGTGTTTATTCTGACAGGTTTGCCATACTCCTCCTAAGTAAGGGCATGGGTTCGCTGGAAGGGTAAGCTTAGGTATGGGGAAACTGGGTCTGCAGGGTGCTGATCTGCTCCCTGCCTCCCTTCTGTGTTCCCAAGGGAATGAAAAGCTAGTTGGAGTGAATCATCAGGCAGCATTGCGCACGACTGTAACAGAGTCTGCTTCCCAGTCCAGGCTGCTCGGGCTGGTAGAGACTTGGTCGCCTGCACCCACTGGCACTGGAGGAGGCAGTGCTCCATCTCCTACAGCCATCTGCACTCGGCAGCAATGCCACCTGCCTTGCTACAAGCACAAGTGAGGAGATGCAGGGAAAAATGGGAAGGATCTTGGGGAGAAAATGCAGTTTCTGAACTGCCCTTCGCTATCACTGCTGCTCTGTTGTTCGCTGCATGCTGGAAGTAAATTGCTCCCAGGCTCCAAAAGGGACACGATTCCTATCCCCCAACTTCAAACTTCTGCAAGTAACGTTTCATCCATGGAGATTTGTCTGTAACTACCATAGGGGGGAGCTGCAATAAATTATCTGGTCTTGCCTTTCTCTTCACCTGCTCTCAACTCACATAGGTATTTCTAGGGTTTAGTCTGTGCAAAGTGGCAAGAGTACACATTATCTCCATTTCCCACTGGACTTATGGCCAAACTCTGTCTGTGAAGGATCAAGTGGGATGGAACAAGATGTGTTCTTTGGCATTGCAGGTATTTTGCCCCTAAAATGTAAAATAAAAACTAAACAAAAATCTGAATAAAAATTTCCCCTGGAAATATCAGATCACAGAGGCCAAACTATCAGTACATGAAAACTTCTTGAAACACTTACTAGAAAGGTCTCCATGTTGTCTTCACAATAATATTCCTGGAATGAGAGACTGGAAGAAACCATGACACAAAGTCATTTATCAAAATGAGCTAGCAAAGGGCATGCTTTCAGCGGATGGCACTGCTGTTTTGCACACACTATGGTAATTTGGCCTAATCCTACTGAATGAGCTTTTCATGCATATATGTGTATGCATATCTGTCATGAGTGAAATCTACTGCATCCTCAGTTGACGAGCTGTGTGTGGCAGATTGCAGCAGGGTTTGGGGAAAGAAATTCATGACCCAGGCTAAGAGTAGAGCATAGGACTTCCCTCTGGAGCTCACCAGCCAGAACAGCAATTGCACCCCCTCCCCACACTGTTACTAACACCAGTCTGGGGTCCCTCTTCACTCCTTTTACCCCACACCAGAGTGGCTGAAGATTCAGCAGAGAGGATGATGAGAAGGGCTTTGTTTCTTTGGGGCATAGGTATATGGTGAACATTGGGCAAGTGATGGAGCACCTGCGTTGTGCCAGCCCTGCAGGAAGGCTGTGCCACAGGATGGATAGGGGTGAATGGGCAGGAGTGGAAAGCTGTCTGCAGAAGGTGTGAAAAGCCCCCATGCACCTAGGGATGAGTGCTGAGGGAGGGTGGGGGGCTCTGTGGACATCCTTGCAGACCCTGAAGCACCACCATGCAAACTTTCTCATCTGGGTCTGTGCTGCAGGGGCACATCCCACTGAGCAGCACTGACCAAAACTGCAGCTGGAAGCAGGGCAGAAAATCTCCTCTGATGCAGTGGGCACTGAGCTCCCCGAGTGCCCTGGCTCCCGGATAGGGACCCTCAGGTGGGCAGGGAAGGGGGCACAGCCCCATCTCCCCACTTTACCTCTGCAGGAGTCCCCTGGGGGAGAAGCTGTGGCACCCCCCGGCTCCGTGGGGTGATGGGGCCCCCTCAGCAGCCCCGGGTTGGCCGCTCCTTCTGTAGACCTGCCTCTGCAGAGGTGTTTGCAGCCATTGGCACGGGCGCTGCAGCGCTGGTTGCCTGGCAGCAGGAACGCGTCCTCTTCCCCATGACAAACATCATCGACCTAGACCACCTCCCGTTTCAAATGTCTGCCCATGCCGGAGAGCCCAGCAAAGGGAAACGTAGCTCACCGAACAGAGCAGAGCAAGCCCCATTTCATCACTGGAGCAATGCAGAGACCCTTGTACTGATCAGCTGCCCCACAGGTGAATTCATCCAGCACCATAAGTAAAATTTCGTGCGCTCGGCCATTCAGCACGGATTAGCACTAAGAGGACAACCCCCCTTAAAGAAATACATGCTAATTAGGGGCCTGAATATTTAGCTTTCTACAAAGCTGTCAGAGGAAAAGTAACTGTGAAGCTAAGCCCCAGGTCTGCCTTTTTGTGTCTGGGTTTTTGGGTCCTGCTGAAAACACACTAATGTTCTTGATGTGCCGAAAGAAGGCAAAGTGTGGCATCTAATTGGGAGCACAGCGTTGCTACAGGTCTCTGTGGCTTATAAAGTATGTGCAGTGTGTTTATCTGCTCCCAGCTCGGCACTCAGCCCCGAGCGTGCCGCTGCATCCAGCCTCTGTGCTGTAGTAACTCTGGTTCTGAACATCATCGCAATCACAGGATTATGAATTTGAGAGACATAAACCCCACCAACTTCAGAGATATCCATCTTTAAAAGAAAGCAAGCCATTATGAGTCAGGCACATTATCTGCCAGCAGCCCACTGAAGAGAGCTGTCTTCTGCAGAGAGGTGGAGGACGGGAGGATGCCAGATGAGTGCAGCAAGGGTGAGGGCACAGGGAATGGAAGGGGAATGGAAGGGGAGAACACAGGAGCTGTGGTCTCCATGACACGGTGCCAGTGCTGTGCAGGGAGCATCCAGGAGAAGCAGCTAGTGAACTCTTTGCCCAGGGGACTGTGGTGTACAGCAGGGACGTGGATTTGGGCTGCTCAGCCTCTGGGAGAAACTGGGTTTGATGGAAGTGTGAAGGTGCCCGGCAGTGCTGAGCTCCCCACCACCACAGCTAATCGCTGCATTGCAAGGTGGGGTAGGTACTTCTATGCTGGGATGCAGTTATTTGTAGAGACGGGGTATAATGAGACCCTCTCTTCCTGCCTGCAGAAAGGCTGAAATTAGTGTGGCCTATCAGTCATTTTCTCAGTCTACTCTGAAACAGATTTATCTCGAGGAGGCTCAAGCTACATGAAAGCACTCACATCAGGTGCAGAGGCAGCTCCCTCTTCACTGTGACTGGTTAATATGATGTGGGAATAAGCATCATGCCATCGAGGAGCTGCAACTTCATCCTCTACAACATCAGCATCAGCCTGCCCCCACCTAGTGCTGTGGCTCAAGGGAGTCAAAGCCAGGGCAAAAGGAGAGGGGCAGGGAGTGGCTGCAGGGAGGTACCTGGCAGGGGAATGCAGCAGCTTGTCCCTTTTCAGGAGAAGAAGGAAATCTCTGGTGGGTGCTGCACAAGAGGAGCTGTGGCGCAGGGGTGTAGCTGTTGGGGTTGGGAGGAGGGTAGGGAGGAAGGGCTGCTATTTAATTGCCAGCCCTGGTTCTATCAGCAAATAGGAGGACAAGCTGTCACTGGTGTGCAAGGTAGCAGATGGCCTAATTGTGAGATTTCTCCCTTGCAAGAGCAAAATGCTATACTGTTTTTAACATCTTTGCCTAAAGCTGAGTGCTAGCTTCAGATACTAGCAAGATACACTGTACAAAGGCACTTTGTGCCAGAAATGTGCTCTAGTGATAATCAGGAGAAAACTGTGCTTGAAGTGACATTTAAAAAATAATTATTATGGCCTATTGCTGTTAGTCACACATCCCAAAAGCTGATCTGGCTAACAGAGCTTTCCAAAGCATCTTCTGCTCGACAGATCATCTGGAAATTATGCCATCATTGTGTCACCGTGTCTCGCCTTATAACCCCCAGGACACTGTCTATGTGTGCACACCATTTCTTCCCTCTTCTGGGGGGGAAATAATTCTCTCCGGCTTCTGATTTTTCTCGTGCTGCTTCAGCTGGTTTTGTGCAGATTCTTGTCTCAGCCATTTGCTGGAGAGCACAGGGCTTCCTTTCCCAGAGGCAGCTATGAAGCATTGCCACCTCATCTCTCCTTGGGTGCCTCAGAAGGGCTCAGTGCTCTGCAAAGCTCCAGGCCTGCAGACAGAGACAGCAGAGCTCGCCAGTGTCACACTAATATCAGGTGCTTGAAACTTTATATTGAAGGTGCAGGGTCGTTAGTGGTGAGTCGTTATGGCAGGTGCATTTTGTCAGCTCCAGCTCTGATCTGACAACAGGGGAGAGGGCAGTGTGGGTAGCGCCTCTCTCAGCTGGGTCAGGTTTGCAGAGAAAACTCTGGTAAGGACTTGTGTGGAGAGAAAACTTTGACTAACCTGTAAATGTGATTAATATTACTTATCAGTGAGGGCAAAACCCATGGCAAGCATCAGCTTGGAATGGAATCAAGTGAATTCTCTGTTTGAGGATAACAGCCCTTGTTGCTTTCTTTGCAGACCACTGACCATATTTTTAAGGACTTTTGCCTGCTGAGTATATTATGTGTTGCATCTTCCTGTCAGGTCTTTGAACTTCATGATGTTTATTGGGGTTTTCTATTAATAGAAAGGTTTCCATAGGTTATCTGTAAGCTTTGTCTCCTAAGTACTGGGATGTATTAAATGTTCTTTAAATCTACCTTAGATCTACCTTAAATCACTGTCCATCTTCAAAAGACTCTTATCCATGCAGTGGATGTCTGTGCTGCAGCAGTCCATCCTCCTTCCCTTCCTCTCCTCTTTCTTTCCCCATTTGCTCTCCTGCTAAAAACCCACAGCTGTGACACACCAGCCCATCTTTCAAATCCCACTGATTTCATGTCTCTCTCAGCCTCTATATAAATCTCCCTATCTTTCCCTTCAAGGCCTTCTGTAATGTTACTTTGCCTTTAATCTCGTTCCTCCCACTCCTCCTCCTCCTCCTGCCTGTATTCTCCCAGTCATCCCTCCTTTCTGCTCATTTTATCTGGTTCTTGGATAGTTCAATCTTGCTTTTTTTCTTCATACTCCTCAGACACCTCAATCCGTCTCCCATTTG